ATAGAATAGAATAGAATAGAATAGAATAGAATAGAATAGAATAATCCTTTAATTGTCCCACAAGGGGAAATTTGGTTGTAATATTGTCTATTCTGTAAAATGGTCAGATTGTTTATTGTTATTTAATTCACTTAATGTACAGAATTCACCTGCTTGCTGCATACATGCCACTACTGCACATTCACCTAATGTATATATTATATATAATGGTGTCAGGTTTCATTTCACTGTGTGTTATACCTGTATAACTATGCATGTGACGAATAAAGAACCTTGAATTACTTTTATGCTTCACAGTTTCACATGGATGCATTAAAATGAAGATAGGATCATTTATTTGTTGAGCGTACCTCACCAAAGCCTACTTGTTCTCTCTCCACCATCACCACGTATCACAGGTGCCCTTGTTCTGCTCTCTCTCTCTCACTCTTTCTCTTGCGCTTTCTCACTCTCTCACTCACTCCAGCTCTGAAAGCACATTAATCATAGCAGTCTCCCACATGTTTTCACCTCTACCTCCTCCCCGCCCCTTTTCTCCTACTCCTCCGGTTCTCTTCCTCTGGTGCTGTAGGCAAGTGGGTCACCGGCAACTGGAGGACTGTTTTCACTCAGGCTGAGAAAGACAGAGATAGGGAGGAGAAGGCTGCAGGAGCAAAACCGAGATGCAGATTTCCTTCTTTTATTAGAACATGGTCGGAGCGGTTTCCTCCAGAAGCCACAAGATTCAAACCGAGCTGACTTTGTGTCAGTCTGACTGTGAAATTTCACCGTCCAGTCTTTAAATGTGGAAATGAATGAGTCATCGTCATCAGTATCAAAATGAAACGTCTACCTCAGACGGGCCACATTTCACATAAAAAGACAAACGTAGTATTACTAAGAAATGTGCCTCTTCAGTAATGAAACATCTGCAGGAAGGCAAAGAAATGTAATCCCTCTGTGATCAGTGTTGTATAGAAGAGCACAATAGCGGTCGTAGATTGATGTCGCACTGAGAAAACTTGGTTCTCAGTGTGGTCCACCCAATCACATATCTGGCCCCGTGACTTAAACAGGACACCGCAGTTTAAAAGATGAGATCCTGTCACAAAAGGGAAGAAAGGGAGAATTCTCCATGAATATTTATGAGACTGGACAGGCCTTCCAGACAATAAATTAGCCACAGTATTGTATTCCACAGCTGAAATAACTCCAATAGAATGAGGAAAATGGGCCAAATTCATGAACAATGGCACATATAAGGACAAGATACAGAACCCACCTCTCTCATCCGTCCCTTCGTGGTTATCTCAGATAATACCAAAGTACAGCGCAGTTACATAAAAGGGTTGTTCCGCACCTTAACAGACTTTGCCATCTAGTGGCCTTATGTTCACATTACATCAAACATCAAAAACGTAAATGAAGAAGCCTGCTGTTAAATGTTACATTCACCACCCACCTTATCAGGTACATCTTGCTACTACTACTGTTAAGTCTTTTTCTTCAAGAACTGCTTTATTGTCAGCAGCCTGACTGCTAATGCAGTGTGAGATAGAATGAATATTTGCTTTCATGTTCACACCAAGTTCTTATCCAGCCATCTCTCTGTCACTGCAGGAATCAAGACTCAGACCAGGTAATATTTTCCCAAACTTCTGCTGTCCAGTGTTGCTGGGTCCACGTGAACTGTACCTCAGCATCCTGCAGGAGAGCCACACAGAGAGCTCTGCTGCTGCTGCTGTAGCTCATCAGTATGGTACCTTGGGAATAATGAGTGGCTGTTTGAGTTACTGTCTGGTTTTCAGCCCATTCTCTGTAAACCCTACAGATAGTCATGTGGGAAAATCCCAACAGATGAGCAGTTTCAAGTACTCAGACCAACACGTGGGACCAAACCATGTCTGAACAACCACTTAAATACCATTTCTTCCTCACACTGATGCTCAGTCTGAACTTTTAACCATGTCTACTTGTCAGGATGCACTGAGTTACTGCTGTGTGATTGGCTGATTTGTTTTCATGAGCAGTTGAACAGGTTACATAAAGAGTCTGAATAGTTTTCAATTCTTTTAGACATATTTTCAGTTATTTTATTTTATGTGTTTTGGTTAAATGAACTAATTAATAAACAACTATAGTAATCAGTTTACTTTGAGATCATTTCAAATGACTTTTTTTGATAGCCCCACAGCCACAGTCATTTCATTGCACACAGTACAAAGGACTGAAAAGACGAGAGTGGAGATGTGCTCAATTCCTCATTGGAGTCTGGTTCAGGGTCCATGAGCCAACCCTCATTAGAAGAGAGGGACTCTGCCTCCTGAACCCAAAACAGGTGGTGGTTCCAGATGAGAGAAGCCTGATAGTTAAAAGATTTTAACCTTTAAATATACTGACCCCCTCCACTTCTTCTCGACTTTGTTCCCAGGCTTTAGAAAATCTAGCATGTGATAAGACATTTTGGCCAATCCCAGGTAAACCAGATCACATGAGCAGTCCAAAGCTGGGGTTAAACTGGGATGGGGGTAGTGAGGAAAGATAGCGGTGGAGTGCGATGAAACAACATGACAATGTGAGCTCCAGGAATTACTCTTAGTGGAAACAAGCAGTTTGCCTGTGCTACTCTGGGGTGTGTTACGGTTTGTGGATTTAGAAGCATTCATTCTACAATATATCAGGACACATTATGAGCTATTATGGCCGATTTTGATCCTCTAGCATGTAAAAAGCATGGATTAGATAAAGTATGGCAAGTAATTCTAAACAGTGTCACTTAGTTGTTTTAGTAGCAGTAGTAGGCCGACAGCCTGCTCTGTGCAGTAAGATGCTGCCTTTAAATGATTCCTACTCTCAGACTGTGGATCTGCTCCTTATCAGCAGTGAATTAAGTTTCAGTGAAGCATTGTTCCTGGTTGGCCAGCAGAGGCTTGCACCTAGCATACATTACCAGCCTATACAGTAACTGAGTATAGGATCTGTAAGACTAGTACTGTCATGTTTCTTTGTAAAGGAAATGGTAAAGACTGCACATCATAAATATTAATATTTTACTCCTTACCTGTTAGAAGACAGCGTGCCTTTACTCTGTTTATTTCAATAAAATGTTGAAATGTCACATTAGGGTCCAAAACAACACCAAAGACCAGAGGCAGTGCTCAGACTGCATCTTGCTACTTCAAAGCAAAGTGGGCTCTGTTCTCAAGACTGCTACAATTTGAATGTTTTGCTCTTTGACGTTCGACTATCCTTAATTTGGATGGTGTCAGTGGCCATGTCCATCTTTCATATACAGTCTTTGGGCTGATTTAGTGAGTCCTTAAAGACGCAGGACAGCCTCTAATGTGAAACCAGAAGATATACAGGCTACAAAGTGGACTTTTACATTACAGTACTCAACCCTCAAACAACAGCACTGACTGGACATGTTAGAATTGATACTTCTGCTATTGTTAAGAGGACGCATGCAGTGAGGGCTTTGGCGTTTATTACTCTGTCTTGATTGTTAACTCCACCTTTTGTTATTGCAGTGGACAAATCACCACAGATTTAGTAAAAAACAATTCATGTGGGCAGAAAACTTCAATGAGCTTTATTAAAGTCCGTTCTAGATGGTGAAAGGCGATCAGAAAAGGTTCTCCCCGACACAGTATTGCACGACATCAAGCCTCATGAGCCTCAAGGCCAACTGCTTTGCTAACGTTTAAAAATAGAGGCAGTAGAGAAAATATGCCATCTGAACATTTTTCAGTAGTTTACCTTTTTATAAATAGATTTCGGTCACTGTTCGTTGATTGAACCTTTTATATACAGATACTTATAACACAAACATGTGCAGAACTGCATTTTTCAACAAAAATGCATCAACTAACAAGCCAGAAAACAGATCCTGACGCTCATTTGCACTGTTTGTGTTTTTTTAGTTGAACCTACACAAAGAGAATTCTGGCTTGTTAGTCGAAGTTATTTTAGAAAAAAAAATTCTTACCAACCTGTTTTTAACCTCTGAACAATCAAGAAGAAATTTACAGTCAATAAACATCAAGCAGACAGGATAAAAATCATATGTACAGAAATGTGACATACTGTACAGCGTGCATGTGTGGATGCAGACATAAATACACTTAAATACAAACAACTCGTACCTGCTACTGCGTTGCAGTACAATTTCAATGGCACACCATGATACTGGCGTTAACTCGAGAATATTATGTCTCCCACTAGCTTTTACAGGCATGAGGGTGCTCGCCAAAGTAACAATACAGACACCTTTGGCTTTACAGTTTAAAGGGAACAGAGTGGGAGAGGTGTAGTGCTTCGGAGCTTCCACAAAATGATTACATACACATTTGGAGTTTCAGTGCATAGTTTAAACTCAGCATTTTGATTATGTGATCGTGTGCAACACACGAACTCAGGCAAACAAGAAAAGCAGCAGCTGGTGTGTGCAGGAGATTTCTTAGTGTTAAGTACGGGTGTATATGGCTTTCTGCAAACTGTGCAGCTTTTCCACGAGGGTCACATCAAACAAACTCTTTTCTCGTCTCCTGTCCAGTGTGGCTCTTAAAAAATGAAAGAAAAGAAATTGAAGGCAAGCAAAGCCAACGGCTTTAAGGCTTGGTCTACTTACAAACATAAGAAAACTTAAATCAGATGCAAACAAACTGTCGTCCCCGCCCCCCCATTACCATTACATTTAAAAGAGAACAATGTGTCAGTTTCAGGTTTTACTGTGTATGCACAAAGTTATTCACTGAAATCTCTGTTAGCTTTCATATGTACCCTTCAGCCAGTTTGTGTTTTGTCCAGGAACGACTTTGCCTACAGGGTTCCAGTGAGGCACATGAGAACGAGCACATGTACGGTGAACAAGTAAGCCAGAAAGAAATATCGAGAGCGAGTGCGACTCGTCAGCAGCCTGGAGAAGTAAAGGCTCCGGCCTCGGAGCCACCGTCGACACGCCACCATCCCTCCTTTCACCTGCGAGGAGAAACAGAAGCAATCAAAGAAATGCTTACATTTGCACTGGAGAAGCTCCAAACACGGCTTTAGTGCACTGGCCCGAATATATGGTGACCCTAATTAAAAGACTAACAAGACTTATTGGGGGCAAGAGTCCTCGTCATTAAGCCTTTTCTGTAATGGGCCACTGTAGGCAAAGTAGAGCAAAGAAAAATGTATCTAAAACTCTTTATTTGATCTCAATGACGTTCTAAAAATTCTCAGTCTCAGACAGTTTGATCCATATGTACTCCATTTTCTTATTTGTTTTGCATGTGCAATAAGTGACAGTTTTCACATCGCTGTGGAGGAATTTGTACTCATCCTCAAACCACACTGGAGAGTTCGGAGCATAATGGCCGGTTTATGGTCACGGCAAAACATCCCAACTGAATTTGAGTCCGGACTTTAAGCAGGCCACTTCAAAACTATAACTCTGGTTACTTTTTTTGTTAGTTTTATGGGGGGTGCGAGTTCACAGGGTCGGGCAGGATAATAAATGTAATCACCTTTTAAAAACTGCATTTTGTATTTACTCAGGTTATCTTTGTCGAACATTAAAACTATTTTCCACAGCACATCCATACATTACAAAGCTACATACAAATAAGTTTCCATACTTTTCTTTCATAATAAAAAGTCTGTCACACTCACCCCTGTCAGGCTCACTTTTCACTGATCTTTGTGTTTCATTATCGCTGCACAGACCTAAACAGCCACTATGAACTTGTTTTCTCACGTCATCGATTTATATGACTACTCCACAACAGCAGTAAGGTTACGCTGTCAAACACACCGTTCTGCAAAAGCCAACTCGAAAAAGCTGTGTCATAGATTCACGCTGGATCTGTACAGTAAGCAAATCAAAGGAAAATAAAGTGTACCGAGTACCTTTCGAGTTATGAGAGGCTGGTTTGGGTTGAGAGTTAGAGCTTCCCACTCCTCTTCAGCTTCCATCTCGATGCTGAAGTCTCTGTGACTGTCCCTGGACAGACTGGAGGCAGCACTGCACAACAAAAAAACTCATTAAAGATCTGCTGTGTTGACGAATAAGAGTCAGGTGTACGGCTGAGTGACTGCATCTGGCTCCAACCTCTTTACTCTGTCCTCAGCAAGACGCAGAGCCTCCTCGGTCGTCTCTCTCCTGGCTCTCTCATCTGCCAGACTCAGCTCCACCTCCAGCAGCCTTAAACACAACCACACCCAGGGATAACGTTAGCACGTCTACGACTTCAACCGACCGTACGGATCTCTCCAGGACAATGTGGAGATTTTTGCAGAGATCCAAACTGAAGGCTGTTTGTTTTTTTTTCACCTTTCTCTCAGCTGACTGGCTTCAGCACTTTCACTTAACATGGAGTCGTTGCTCTTCTCCTGTGGAGCCCCTGGTGCAACTTCAGTGTGAAGTAAACCCTGGTAGGAACGAGTGCAGGATTACAGGTATAAACACACAAGAGCATACAGAGACAACGCAACTGGATTCAGTGGCAGCTCGGATTTGAGGTTTTAAAGCACATGTATATAGAGCTTTACCTGCACCCGGCCTTGGCTTTCCAGCCAATGACATCGATTCTGGGTGTCCCTCAGAGTCTGGGAAACAGCCCTTAGCTGAGCTGTAACAGCAGCTTTCTCCTCCACTGCCTCCTGCAACTGTGAGTATTGATAACCCAAAGAGGAGGGGCAAATGGCTGTTTGACTGTTTTGTACATTTAGAGTTATTCAGCATTCAGTTGCTTTTATATTTGTATATTATTTTGTAGGAAATGGGAAACAAAAATCATGAAATCAAACCTTGAACATTTGAAGTTTATTGTAGTGTGGTTTAATTAGACAGCTTGCCTACACTGTCTGTATCCTCAGGACGTTTTTGCCTGCTTACAAAGGGCTAGCTGAACTCTGATGGGTTTGGCTTTAAAGGACAGTCACCTGAAGCGTTTTCATACCTTTGTGTTGAGCTGCTGGAAGTACTGGTCTCGCTGCTGAATCTCATACATACAGCGCTGCAGATCTCTGTGAAGCTGCCTCCTCTCTGCATCCAATCGACTCACCACCTCCTCCAGACCGCTTTCCTGCTGTGTCGGAAGGAAGAAATGGGATCGTTTGGTGTCACAACTACCAAAGAGAGAAAAACTGGTTTATCAACCAGGATATCTAAACAGTTTAACTTAGGTAGGATTTCCTGTTCTGTGTGCTGGTTATTGTTTGTTTACATATGCAGATACATTTTTCAAAACATACAAAGTCAAATCACAGTCAGACATTAGCCAAGAGTTTTCCCTGCTCTGCTCTCCTCTCTACTAAAGCTTAAATATGACTCGTGAATAAAGAGCAATGTCTACAGATTCTACATATTCATATGCAGATATCTGTTTATGATTAGTCTCGGTCGTCATGTCCTTGGGCAAGACACTTCACCTACCGCCTACTGGTGTTGGCCAGAGGGGCCGATGGCGCGATATGGCAGCCTCACCTCTGTCAGTCTGCCCCAGGGCAGCTGTGGCTACAACTGTAGCTGCCTCCACCAGTGTGTGAATGTGAGAGTGAATGAATTGTAAAGCGCTTTGAGGGTCTCGAAAAGCGCTATATTAATGCAATCCATTATTATTATTATTATTATTATGATTAAATTCACTGTGACCGTGAAGGTCAAAAGCTGCACAAGTGCATCCGTGAGTCACAGCCTCCCAACAAAGGAGGACGACTGAGAAGTGTAACTTACTTTAACTGGCAGGTCCTTCGGCTCAGCATCAGATCTACATAACAAAAAATGTGTTAAAAATTGAAGTAAAATGAATTTAAGCTGTGTGCATAACAGTGCTGCAGTCAAGCTTTCAAGCCTTCACATAGATGGAGGAACTTACTTTGCTTACTAGCAAATACAGTAACACACATTTCCTGCTTCTGCTGTATGGAAAAACCTTTGAGCCGGGCAGCTTTGGGAATAGGAAACCGTTTTCCTTCCTTTACCTCTGATCCACTGTTGCTTCCTGCTGGCTTCTCACTTCTTTGTGTGCCGTTTGTTGCAGTTCGTCCATCTTCTGATGTATCCCCTGCGATGACAGTAAACAGAAAAAAATGCATCATTGACAAAGACAAACAATGCATTTAACATTTATGTTATTGAAGTGAAGTTTTAAACAGACACCACAGCGTGAGTATTTAACAAAAAAAACGAAAAAAAGTATGCAAGTCATACCGATGGGATGTGAAACCAAAAACACATCTAAGCTGACCCTGCATGCTGTTTGAACCACAGAACCACAGCAGAGAAAAGGAAGTGCAAGCAACAGCCAAACTTGACTTACCAGCCCATCTGACTCAGTCTCCAAGGCACTGACACCACTTCCCTTTGACTTTTCCACGCTCGCCGTACCGACAGTCTCTGGGCTCGACCCTTGCCTGGACTCAACCACTCTTTTAGCCCCGGCCAATTCGTCCATCAGCCGTTCACGATCGTTTTGGAGACTGGCCATGGATCTGGAGAATGCTGACAGTTGCCTGCTGTAAGTGTTGTTTTCCAAAATGACTTTTTTTAGTTCTCTTTCCTTTTCTGGCAAGACCTCCGTCAGCTCGCCCAGCAGCTTGTTCAGCTCTGCGTGTGCGTCTTTACTCTCAAAGGCTTTTAATTTGCGAGTAAGGATGTCCCTCTCTTTGGCAAACATGGCCAAATCTGACGTGGTGTCCTGCAAACTGCGCTCCACCTTGTTTAAGGCTGCCCGAGTCTCTCGGAGTTCTTCATCGTATCTCTGCCTGAGGACCTTGAAGTCCTCGATGAGCTGGTCTCTGTCATTCTGCAAAGCAGCCATTGCCTTGCACAGGGATTCATTCTGAGCCTTGGTATCTTTGCTTTGCGATTTAGCCTCTGATAACTGCTGCTCTATTTCTAGTAGGTCTTTTGCGAGCTCTGCCACCCTCTGATCGGCAGTTTCTCGCTCATTCCTCATCAGCTCCACCTCGCGCTCAAAGGCATCCAGCTCACTGTTGTACTTTTCCTCAGCTTCTGATAATTTTTTGTCCGTTTCATCTTCCAGCTGCTGCATTTTCCCCTTGAGCTCATCAGTTGAGAGCTTCTGAGAAAGAAGTTTTTGTTGAAGGTCATTACATTCAGATGCTTTGGCTGTAACAGCTTCCTGCAAGTCAGCAATCACCTTGCCCCAGTTTGTTGACTCACTGTCTTTTCTCAGAGTTAACAGTTCCTCCTCCAGCTTGGACGCACGAGCTTTAAGTTTAGAATTCTCTTCCTTTAATGCATTGCTTGCTTCTTCTTCCTTCTGGATGTCCAGCTGAGCCTCTCTGTGTTGCTTTTCAGCCGCAGCTTTTTGGGTTTCGAGGTTTTTGATAACCTCCTGTTGCTTCTTTAGCAATACTTTCAACTGGTTGTCCTTAAGGGACAAAACCTGATTTAAATCCTCCCTGTATCGGACCAGTTGAGCCCTGAGCATCGCGTTCTCAGAATTGAGATCATCCATCTGATGTAACAGTTTTCTAATTTCGTGTTTAAGGCCTTTGGCTGCCCCACCTTCCCCATCGGGAGAGCCCTCTTTGCCCTTTAACCCCAACTGACTCTTTGCTTCCAGTATTCTGTATTCTGACATCAGCCGTTCCCGTTCGCTCTGCAAAGACACCATTGAGTTCTTGAACGACTCCATCTTTGCTTCCATCTGCTCCTTTTCCTGGATAGATCTGTTTACTTTAATTTGCAGACTTCGGACCTTGGCCTCAAGCGCTCTCAACTCCTTGTCTGTCTTTTCCTTTTGGTAACGTGAAGACGTCAGCCTGTCCTCATAAACGGACACCTGGTTACGATAGTTAGCCTGCAGTTGCTCCAGATAGCCTGACATTTGTCCATCTTTGCAGGACAGTAGAGAGGAGATCTCAGCATCTTTGCTCTGAAGGAGCATTTTGAGCTGCAGACAAATTCCCTCCTGCTTCTCAAAGTCAGCTTGAGTTTTGTCATTTTGAGACTGCAAAAGGAATATCTGAGCTTCCATGTCAGCGTTTATCTTCTCCACTTGCTGTAGACTGAGCTGCATTTGGGAGATCACGTCTTCTTTGTCAGCCAGCTGTCGTTTCACTGCGTTTTTCTCTTGCTCTGTTCTTTCCATCTGAGCGCTGAGCTCCTTCACCTGCACAGTCATGAGCTCTGCGCTCTCACTGAGTTCAGCATTGCTTGCGCTCACAACAAACAGCTGCCTCTGATGCGCAGCGGCAGCTACAGAGTATTCATTCAGCGTCCTCTCCAGTCTCGACTTGGTCACCCGTAACTCATTCACCTCTTTGTCTTTCATTCTCATATCTTCCAGGAATCTTTTAATGATGAAACCTTGCTCAAGGAGCTGATTGTCCTTCTCATGTAAGGTTTTTTGGTACAAATCATTCCAAAGTTTGGTAGCATTAGCCCCGTGTGGTGTGGAAGCTAACGCAGACAGCTTTGCTTCTTGAGTCTCAGCCGCTCTCTTTAGAGTATTTATCTGCAGATCTCGAGAGTCTAGCTGCTGCCTCAGCTCATCAACTGTTTGACTTTCTTTCTCTTTCAAATCCTTGAGATCATCTATCTGCCGCTGTAACAAAAACTGATTCTCTATGTAAGAGTTGATTTTTGCTTCTTCTACATTTTGAGGTGTCAGATGTGATTTCTGATTTTCAGACTGTTTATTTTGCTGTGACACTTGAAGAGCCAGCTGGTCTCTTTCAGACTCGGCACTCTCAATCTTTTCTTTGGCTTCCCGGAGATGACTCTTGTGCATAATTAGCTCAGCTTCAGCTTGTTTACCTCTCTCATCTAAATCTGCAATCTTCTCTGAGTTTTTCTTCAGTTCTTTCTCCAAGTGCTCACACGTTGATTGCGAGCTCTTCAAAGAGCTCTCCAAATCTAAAATCAGTTCCTGGTATTTGATGCAGTTTTGCTGCAGCTGATTTATCTCCTGATGCTTTTCTTTGAGCAGCTCTTGCAGCTCTTTCTTCACGTTCTTCGAACCCTCGTTGCCTCTCTGAACTGTCTTGAGTTTCTCCTCAAACTCTTTGACCAACTTGAGCTGCTCCTGTTCTTTTTCGCGACGAATCTGATCGTTCATCTCCTTGCTAGCTGCAAGTTGAGTGGAAAGCTGCGCAGTTTGGGACTGCAGGGCACCGACGGACTCGGTCAGTTCGTCGATCCTTTCCGAGTTCTTGAGGATTACAGTCTCCAAATATTCGTTTTCACTCTTCACCTTGTCTGAGATCTCTTGAGCGTTCTCAAGTTCCTCTTGCAGAAGTGACTTGTCATCCTCCAAAATTCTCACCTTCTCATTCAGGTTAATAGTCTCTTGGCGGTGCCTGGTGATAATGTCTTTGAGGTCCTTAACTGCGTCATCTTTTATTCCCAACTGCGACTCATAGTCATTCTGTATGTTCTCAATTCTCTCTGAAAGAGTCTGCTTCTCCCTCTGCACCAAGTTGTTGATTTCCATTTGAGCAGCAAGTTCAGTTTTCTGAGCTTCAATCTGAGCAGTCAGTGAACTATTCAAACTGAGTGCTTCGTCAAGTTTGTTCTGCATGTTGCTTGTGTATGTATTGGATTCCAGGTTCTTCTTTTCCAGCAAACAGGTAGCTTCTTCCAGCCTTTCTGCTAGCTGGATATTTTCAGCTTCCATCTCAGTAAGTTTCACTCTCAGAGCCTCGAATGAGTCCTGAAATGGGGCAGTCTCTGCCTCCAGTTGTTGGTTTTTATCATTTAGATCACACATCACCTCCATCACCTGTTTCTTGATTTTCTCATTCTGCTCCTCCAGCTCCTCGATTCTCTGCCTTTTCTCTTTGGAAACTTCCTCCACTTTTTCTTTCATTCTTTTATTTTCTTCCTCCATCTCTCGGACTTGCTTCCCCAGGATCTCCATCTCACTTTCGTGCTTGTGTACTTTTCGGAGGGCTTCCTGCCTGTCTCTTTTAGCTCCCTCCAAAAGCTGTCTCATCTTGTCCATTTCACTGCTGACATTTTCATACGCTTGCAAAAGCGACTCGTACTCTTGCTTGAGCTCTGCGTGTTTCGACTTCCACTTGGTCAGCTCCTCTGTTTGAGAATCTTTGAGCGATTCGAGCTGGCACGAGAAGGCTTGTTTCTGCTGAGTGATGCTTTCTATAGTTAGTTTCAAACTTTCGCAGGCTGCAGATAGGTTGCGATTCTCGTTAAGGATGCGGTCGACTTCAGTGCTCATTTTGTCCTTCTCTTCGAAGAAACGTGACACAGAACTTTCCAGGTCCGTATTTTCTTGTTTGAACTTTAAAAGAGATGATTGCAGAGCAAAGTACTCTGTTTCTTTTGCTTCGTGTTTGGCTGACAGATTTTCTACTTCTTCCTTGAGCGCTGCATTTTCCTTCATGAGTTCTTTCCTAGAAACCAAAGCTGCTTGAAGTTTCCTTGTTAGAAGGGTAACTTTGTTTTGGTTATCCGGATCATTCATCCTGGCACCCTCATCAGGAGATTTCTGAAGCTCACCACCCTCTCTTCTCATCTTTTCAGTAGTGGTTTCAAGCATTTTGCTTTGCTGTTGTAGCTGAATTTCAAGGGCAGCAATTAGGTCCTCCTTTTCTGAAACTTGAGCTTGAGAAACTAACAAGGCATCATCTCGCTCCTTTAGTTTTGCTTCAAAGATTTCTGCACATTTGCAAGAAAAACAGACCCCTTCTTTGTTATGACCCTCTTGTTCAACGGGTGCATCGTGCTTCTTCAGCAGCTGCTCTTTTACCTTCTCTGACTCCTTCGTTTGCTTTCTCAGGGAGGTCACCTCATCCCTCAGTTCATTAAATAATTGGACAAAATGTTCTTTTTCCTGCTTCAGCGAATCCATATTCCTCTGTGTTTCAGTAAACTGCTGCTGCAGATGTTTAAGCTCCTTAGCCAAAGATCGGTTGTCCTCAGTGAGCTGCTGCTCTGTTTGTTCTAATGTCTTCTGAAGGGTCAAAACTTCAAAGGATTTCTGCGAAACTAAATCAGCTTTTGTTTCAAGTTCTGCTTTCATCTGATTACTTTGCTCCAAAACAGCCTCCTTTTCTTTCAGTAAGGTTTGATGCTTCTCTTCATTTGCATGCATATGTTCCTCTAGTGACGATTTTAGGATGCACAGCTGAGTCTCTAAAGCCTTGTTTTTATCAAATAAAGACTGATTCTCCTGTTGGGTCTTAACTTCAGCAACTCTGACTGCATCCCGATATTTGTCAACCTCTTCAATTTTCTCTCTTAATTCGTTCTCTACGATGTGCAGTCTTGATTTCAAAGAATCTGCTCTTTGCTCCATGGCTATGAGAGACTCTTCTTTATTGGCCATCTCAAGAGAAATAGCCTCTAATCCGGATTTAGTAGCTTCAAGTTCTGTTTGCAGGCTTGAGAGAGAATGGCATTGGCTCTCTTTCTCAGCCAAAGACATCTTTAAATCTTGAAGAGTTTTGTCTCTCTCCTCGACGAGCTGTCTCAAAGTTTGCAATTCATCCAGATAACAAAAGGAGGTTTTGTTGAGTTTCTCCATTTCTCTGGTCTTCTCATCCAAGCTTAACTGCACTGCATTTAGCTCGTTCGTCTGCTGGCAGTGTTGCTCCAAGAGCGCCTTGTAGTCATCTTTTAGTTCAGCGAGCTCTTGACTTAATTTCTTTTCATTTTCTTGAGCTTTCTTTATTGATTCTTTGCGTGCCAGCAAGGCGGCCTGGGCTTTCTTCTGTAAGGTCACCTTTTCTGACTTTACCTGTGCAAGCTCATTTTCTAAGTCAACAGCACTAGCAGCAGAGGAAGACTTGTCCTTTAACTCATCTTTGCATGTCTTGATTTCATTTTGAAGCTCTTCTAATTTCTGCATCAAGCCCTTCCTGTTCTGCTCAAATATCTCTTCCTTCTCGACAGCACTGGACTGCAGCTGCTCGACTAGTGAGTCTTTCTCAATGAGCATTTGTAATGTTTTTGACAAATGAGCTTCTTTATCATTTAAGATGGTTTGCAAACTCTGTTTTTCTGACTCTAGCTGTTCCAAAAGTGTTTTGCTTTCAGTGTTATACTTAAGAAATTCTCCCTCTTTCTCGAGAGTTTTCTTTTCAAGTTGGGAAATATTTTCTTTATGCAATTCTGCTGTAGCTTGAGCTTGACTTTTGGCTTCCTGCAATTGTTCATGCAACAGTGAAACCTCAGTTTTACTGCTTACGCTCTCTTCTTTTTGGTTTTCATATTCTTCAATCCTCCTTAACAGATCTTTTCTCACAGTAAGCGCAGCTTGCAGCTTCTTCTTCACTGCATCTTTTTCTTTCGATACTTTTGTGAGTTCACTTTGTAGCTCATCCTTTTCCTTAATTAGCATGAGCTTCTCTAAATTATTTTTCTCAGTTTCACTTGAACTGTGCGAAATCTGTTCTTCTAACTGTTGCAAAATCTCTTCATGTGCTCTCTCCATGCTCTTTAATTGTGCCGAGAGCGAGTCATTTTCCTCACCAAGTTTCATTCTCTCATTTGAGGCGGACTCCATGACCTGGGCAATGGATGCATCTTTTTCCTTTATCTGCTGAGTAAGGCCAGCAAGCAATTCCTTCTGTTGACTGATCTGAATGCTCATGCAGCTGATTTGCTCATCTTTTGTTTGCAATTCATCATATAAAGAAGAGTGTTTAACAGTAGCTTCTTTCACTCTTACTAACTCGGCATTAAGCTGAGTCTGTAAATGCTCCACAGCCTCTTGCAAAAGAGCTATTTGTTGACCTTTCTCGCAACTATTCTGCTCTCTCTGATTAAGTACAGTCTGTGTTTTTTCCAATTCTGCAACAGTTTTAGCCACCTCGGTTTGCAAAGCATCTACCTCACTTTGATGACTTTCTTGTAACCATTTTATCATGTCCTCCAAAGAGGCTTTTTCGTCATTCAAAGCAGAAGATTTCAATAGAGAGGAAACTTTGTCCGTTTTTCTCACTACCAGTCTTTGTAACTCGTCTTCCACAGCTTTGAGAGCCTGCTGCAAAATATGGTTCTCGTTCTCCTTTTCCTGGATAGATGCTAACACATTCTCAAGCTGAATTCTGGATGCGGATGCCTCCAGCTCTTTCGTGCTCAGTTGATTAGAGCCCTCCCTAATGGCAGAGGAAGCCTCTGCTAGTTTCTCCTGCAAGCTGTCCATGTCCTGTTTCAAAGCATTTACTTTAACATCTTTAGATTTCATCTCATTTTCAACACTTTTCAATTGTTCTGCAAGAAGGTTCTTTTCCTGCTTTTCTCTATCCAGAACTAAAAGCCACTCTTTCTCTGAATCCTGCAGAATTTGTTCTATTTTTTGAATGTTTTCGTTCAACTGAGAAATTTCTTCATCTTTGGCACTAACCTTTGCTTGAAGGCTCTGCTTCTCGGACGTCATTCTCTCCACGAGTTCATTCACGCTGCTGGATTTCTGCTCCATTTGAACCTGCAGCTCCGCCAGCGTTTGTTGACGTCTTCTTTCTAGCTCTTCTTTCTCTGCAAAAAGTTTCCTAAATTCCTCTTTCAAATGTGTGTTTTCATTACTGAGAGCAATGTGAAGTTTCTGATTCTCTTCCTTTGACAATCCTATCTCCTCATTCAGGCTCTTATTCTGCTCTTCCAACTTCTGCATTTCTGAAACCAGCTGAGATGCATGTTTGGCCTGGGCGCTGTACTGACTATTGATTGCGTGGAGAGCCATTTCTCTCTGCTCGAGGTTTTCTGTCAGTGCATTCATCTGTGCCACGACCTGAAGATGCTGTGATTTGAGTCTTTCTATTTCGACAGTCAACAATGACACGCTCGCTTGATGCGAAGCAAATGCGTCATCTTTTTCCTTTGAAAGACTGGAGTTCAAATCCTCAGCTTTCCCCAGTTTCTCCTGGATCACATGCAAGTTACTTTTCAGTGTCTCTACGGTGGTCTTTGCAGTCTGATATTCGTTATTAGAATCATGCAATGACATCCGGAGCTCAGACACCTCATCTGTCCTTTGAGAGAGTTGCTTCCTCGAGTCTTGTAACTCTTCTAAGGTGGCAGCATATTTCTCCTGCAGGTTATTGAAGGCACTTTGGGTTTCTTCTGCTGTCTTTCTACATTTTTCAGACTCAGTGGACAGTAACTGCATTTGACTTTGCAGCTGTGATGCCAACTCTGTACTTTCCATGAACTGAGTTTTGAACAGCAATGCTTCGTCTCCTCTTTTCTGGAAGTCCTGGAGAGCTTTCGCTTGTTCCAAAAGAGCTGCTTCTTTTTCTTCCAAGGCCATTTTGAGGTTTGTCACTTCAGATGTCTGTACTTCCAGGTTGCTGTTGAGCTTTGAGACAGATTCCTCAAGGTGTGATATCTTTTCTTTCAAGCTCTCACATTCTGCCTCTTTGGCTTGTAGATGTGAAGTCAGACTATCAAAGGCAGCGGAAGAAGTACTTTGATATTCAAGACTTGACTCCTCCTTTTTCTCCAAAATATTCTTTAGTATGGAAGACTCTGATGTCAGACTGTCAACTTGGCCTCTGAGTGTACACACAGAATCTTCAAGCTCCAAAATTGTGCCTTCTTTCTCTTTCAGCAGCTCCCCCCGCGCAGCAATCTCACTGTTGAGCTGCTGGATCGAATTCTCCTGCTGTTTCAGGGTGTCATTTATTCCTTGGATTTCCAAGTTGAGATTTGCAGCTTCTTCGTTTGCTTTGGCCAGCTCTGCCACTGCTTTCTGAAGTTCAGATTTCAATCGAACATTCTGTTCACTGAGGGCTTGAATGTTGTCATGAAAATCAGTTACCTCTGCTTTCCTCTGGCCCTCGTCCTGGATCAGCTGACAATTTTCTGCAGTGAGTTTCTGCACAGATGCCTTCAGGTTAGTAATTTCCACCTCCATCTCTGAAGCGCTCTCATTCATGGCCCCAAGCTGAGCACTGAGCGAAATGACAGATTCATTTCGTTTATTCAGCTCATCTTTGTGGTTCTGAAATTCGTGTGTTGCTTCTTTCAGTGTTTGTTCTTTCTGCTGTAGTTGTTGTTTGGCCTCCACACATTCTTTCCTGAGCAACTCTACCTCAACCTGCATCTGTGATGAGAGCTCTTTCTGTAGCTTGACTTCATTCAGAGATACACTACATTCCTCAACTTTCTGCTGCAGCATGACATCTTTTTCCATTAGTCCTGACTTTAAAACTGATCCCTGCTCCTGAAGCATAGATACAGTATCCTGAAGCTGCAGCAGCTGGTCCTGCTGGGCCATTATCTGTGAAGTCTGCTCTGACACAGTTTGGTCTTTTTCAACCAAGGACATGCTCAGCTGATCGACCTGCATTTTTAAACTATCGATCTGCTCTTGTAAACTCTGAAGCTGTTGCTCTTTCTCCCTCAGATTTTTCAACAGATTAGCACATTCGTTTGTTTTCTCGAGTAGACCTACAGAGATTGCCTGTTTGCTTTCCTTGAGGACCTTTTTTAATTCATCTGTTGCTGCAGCGAGCTCCTCTTTCTCCTTCAACAGGCTAGCAACTGTTTTTTGACTATCTGAAATCTGAATTTCAAGGTCAGAAGTTTTTTCTTGGAGAACAAGTCTCTCAGCAGTAAGTTCGGAAACTGATTTCATGTTCTGTGCCAACTCTTCCTGTAGTCTTTGATTATTTTCTGTTAGACTGCTAATCTTCATGCTAAAGCTGGAGTTCTGGTCAAGGGTCGCTTTAAGCTGCCCATCAAGGTCAGACAGAAGCTGCCTTCGTTGTGCAAGCTCCTTTTCTTTGGATTCACATGCAGCACGAAGCTGGCGGTTCTCCTCGGACAAAGCTTGGGTGTGGCTTTTTAAACTAGCCAATTCTGTTTTGCTCTGATCAGCTTCACACTCAAGCTTTCTAGCATTTTCCTCCATGACACTGACTCGGTCACTTAGAGACCTGATAGTTGTGTTTTTGTTATTCAGTTCATCTTTGTGCTTCTGACATTCCTGAGTTGACTTTTTCAACATTTCGTCTCTCTCTCCCAGTTGCTCTCTGAGTTGTGAGCGTTCCTCAATGAGCGATTCCGCCTCAGCTTGTAGCCTGGACGCAATATTTTTCTGGTTTTCAGTTTCCTTCTGCAAACTCTGGAACTCCTCCTGCTTCTGTTTATACATTGCATCCTTCTCCAATAACCCAGACTTCAGACTACTTTGTTGTTCCTGAAGCAGAGACAGAGTTTCCATAAGCTGTGCTTGCTCATTTTGTTGGGCCTCTATTCGTGCTTGAAGTTCAGTGACAGTCTGCTCTTTTTCAGCGAGGTCGCGCTGCATTTTGTCTATCTTAGACGTCAAGCTTTGCACCTCTTCCTGCTGCTGGGTCACTGTCTCCTCTCTTTCCCTGAGTAGCTGCTGGAGCGAACTACATTCATTTGTTTTTGCCAACATGATCTCAGAGGTTGAATGTGTGCTTTGCTCAAGAACTCTATTTAGCTCAAGAGTTCGAGTAGTTAGCTCCTCTTTATCTTTTTGTAGCCCTTGAATAATTGTGTTACTTTGTGAGTGTTGCATTTCCAATTCAGATATTTTGACATGCAAGGAATCCATCTCGGCTGTAGCCTGTGAAATATTTTTGACATGCTCAGTTACTTCCAATTCAAGCCCGTCTCTCTCTTTTGTAAGGACTTGCACTTGATTCTCCAGACTGCTGTTGAATTCAAGAGCAGATGTAACCTTTTCATTTAGCTCTTTTAAATTCCTACGTTCGAGTTCAAGCTCCTCATTCAGCCCCTTCAGGTTTTCTTGGAGCTGCTCTTTTTCAGTCGTCATGCTTTTTAAGAGATTTTCAAGCTTGGAGATATTTTCAGATCTGCTTTGAAGTTCATTGCACAGTCTCTCATTTTCAGTGTTGAATTTCTGCCTCTCGTCCTTTAGCTGGTTTTCGAGTGATGCCATCTTTTCCATTTTCTCTTGCATTACTTGCTTGACATTCTCTTCACTCAGAACTTGCTCGTCTAATTGCTTTGATAAGGTCTGAAAGTCATTGTTATACTTCTCCACCTGTGCCAAAAGCTTATTCTGTTCTTCCTTGAAAGACTTGAGCTCCTTTTCATACGTCTGCTCTTTGTCATTAAGCTCTTGCTGTAGTTTCTCATTACTTGCATTTCTATCCTTAAGCTGCAAAACAAGTCCTTCTGACTCCTGTAGTTTCTGTGCAGATATTGCCAGCTGCTCCTTTAGTGAAGTGATGTGCGTTTCACATTCAGAAAGATGATTATGATGGCTCACATTCTGCTTCTGGATTTCTCCTCGAAGGTCCTGAATAGTCGTCTTATCCTTTTCAGCCTGCTTGATTAAGTGTTCCACCTCAACTCCTTTAGACTCTCGTTCATCTCCGGCCTTGACCATCTCCATCTCAGCTTCCTTAAGTTTCTCCACCAGCTCTGTGATCTTATTATTAAGGGCCTGCTGGTCTGAACTCTGTGATTCTTTCATTATATTAGCCTCCCTCTCTGCCTTACTCAGTGCATTTTCTACTTGTACCAGGCTCTCCTCTTTGAGTTTGATCTCTTGTTTCAGTGCTGTGACCTGCTCTGCATACTCAGCCATGTTCCCAACAAGAGTTGATATCTCTTTATCCTTTTCCAGCAGAGCATCTTTAAGGTTATCGATTTCCCGCTCACAGCTTTGAAGGTCATAAATGAGCTGGGCTCGTTCCTCCAAATGCGAGGTGTTCAATTTGTCCAGCTCCTCGTTTGTCTGATCAAGGTCAGTTTGTAATGTTTCAATGGTGACATCTTGTTTTTGCGTCTAAAGAAAATTAGGGAGGAAAAACACCATTGGCACCTTTTTCTTAATCTTTACAGGCAAAACAACGAAAATCTTAAAAAATCTTTATCTTTTCAAGCATACCTTCTCTTTCAGCACACTCAGCTTTTGTGTGAGATCCATAACTTCTGCTTTCAACTCAGAGCATTGTTTCTCTGATGTAGCGTATTTCATGGAAATGTTCTCAAACTGAAAAAAACAAAACAACACATTTAAAGACTGAAAAATGGCAAATCATAACACAACGAAAAAAGGAGCCCAGCTCTTACAGTGTGCTCAGTCTGAAGGAGCTTGTCAGACAGCTCTTTGCACTGAATGTCTTTTTCACTCAGTGATTGTCGAAGGCTGCTGATGAGCTCAAGTTTCTCAGATGTCTTGGCCAAAGTATTCTCCTTCTCAATCAGGGAACTTTGCAGGCACTCCTGTGTGTCAGTCAGCCTAAAGAAAAAAGTGACAATTGATTGAAGGAAGTCTTGAAAATACCATCACAAAGGACCAAAGCCATACTCTAGCCAAAACGTAACCATAAAAATCAAGTCTTTAACCCCAATGAAAAACTCATTCACTCATCTTGACTCTTTAGATGTCTGCAACCCACAACCCGCCCAGTCTAAACAACCATGTTTTCCACAATCATTTAGTGAGTGCATGTTCACAGCAGTCCTTTTCCAAACTAATAACTTTATGATTGCCGACATAGCAAAACATGTACTACAAAAATGGATTACACTCTATTTGAACATTCAGTGCACTAGCTTATTGTAAAAAAGTGAAATCCTCTCATTAATAGCCATAAATTAGACTAAATTAGATGATGTGAAGTAAGAGCTAGCTTGTTGACCAAAATTTGTCTGAACCATCTGACCCCAATTTAATCAAGTAGCCACTTAATGGTTTGGTGTAATAAAATCCTCTCGAATAACAATGTTGAACATAACCCAGAAACACCTCCTTTTACATTTACTATCTTTTGTTAAAAACACTTGTTGGTGGTTGAGCTTTATCGGCTAAAACTGACTGTGGACACCATCTGTAACGGTGGTACTAAAAGTATTTGTCAAAGCACTTAGGCTACGTTCACACTGCAGGCGAAAGCGCATCAAATCCGATTTTTTTGACCCTATGCGACCCATATCCGATCATGGTATGACAGTGTGAACGGCACAAATCCGATATTTTCAAATCCGATCTGGGTCACTTTCGTATGTGGTACTGAATCCGATACATATCCGATGTTTTAGAAAGCGACTGCTGTGTGAACGGTCAGGTCGCATTAAATCCGTCTTTTACGTCACCGACAGAAGACACACTAATTATCAGCACCGGAGAAGACATCGCGAACGCTTCCTGGCCATATGGTGAAACTGCTGGGAAGACAACGTGAACATTTTATTTGTACTGTATAATCTGCAGATTCTGACAGAAATCTGCAGCTATCCTTTGAAGCACCGCTCCTCTAAAACAGCAATAAGGATAATTATTAGGTTATTTACATTATTATGTAAATAACAAAATAACTTAAAGCAAAAATTGGGAAACGTAAAGTCCGAAGTCTTTATATTAAGGGCCATCGGTCAAACAATATTGTTTACTTCTAACAATTACAGCACATATCACATACAGTCAGATGAACACTTCAGTTCCTTTTGCATGTCAAATAAACATAAGTAAACATTTCTTGGTCAATGAACAGATGAAGAATTTCGATGTAGCACTGTAATCACAGTGAAGGGTTATGGTTTGAATAGTTAACTTACCCTTTGAGCTGTTCATTGAGACTGTTAACCAGCAGCTGATGCTTCTCTGCCTCTCTGCTTTGTTGACTTCTGACACTTGCAAGTTGGCTCTGCAGTTTGTCTGACTCGTTCTGCAGCGGTAGAAAACCAAACATCAATAAATAACACAAAGATCGTCACTGGATGAAGACATCTGCACTGCACACAAACGTGGATGACAGCAGACCTGCTGAAAACAACAGAACATGAAATCTGTTACTGCTATCATCAGTCATCTATTTGTGTGGACCACGCACGTGATGCAAAGGAACTTTGTAAATGTCAAAAGATCAGCAGTGTGAATACAGACAATCTGTGAGCTTTGTGCTTTGAACGTTACTTGACAAACGTATCCAAGGTTAAATAAGCACACCACACCATTAGCCATCACCACCAGAGGTGCTCTCTAACGCACACAGACATGAGTGACCCAACACACCTGAGAGACCCAATTTGGCTGCTCATCTTCATCTACATCAAACGTCACCTGTGTTAGAAGGTTTTGTTACAAAATCCCATTCCATGCAGTTCACTCATCGTTTACTCAACAGTTGGTATGTTATACAAATGCTGCTGTCAGTTAACCCTGGGATAGCACATATGGTGTGTTGTTGGACGGAGTTACCTGTAATGCCTCTATACGGGCCTGCAGCTGCAGTCGATCCTCCAGGTCCTGGCAGCGCTCCTCCAGGCTCAGTATCTGCTCCTGTAGTTGGTTTCTTTCCAGCTCCAGCTCCTCCACAACAGACCGCAGGCCATCTGGAATCAATAGGAGGGAGAATAAACACTAGGTATACAAAAACAGGCTGGTAAGGTACAGTTAGCTGTAATGATTCACAGGGTAAATTCCACCGCTCTAATTTTAGCAGCAGAGCAAACTCTAAAAGGAAATGCAATATTTTAATCAATGCATTTTTGACATTTATAGAAATACTGTTTTCATTCACTTATTTTTTCCTTTTTAAAATTTCTGATCAAATATTTGAAACAATTCAAAGCCTAACCCATCGTTGCTAACTAAATTTAAAAACTCTGCTTTAGTGGGAAAGCTGGGAAAAAGAAGGGATGCCCCAGACCAATATATCTGATCTTGACCAAACATCAAGCTGAACTGGGTCTCTCTAGCAAAGGGCTGATTGCAGAGGCAGGAAGCATCCCTGACAGGTTAATAATAATAATAATAATAATAATACAATGCCACTATTCATTCACTCTCACATTCACACACTGGTGGAGGCAGCTACAGTTGTAGCCACAGCTGCCCTGGGGCAGACTGACAGAAGCGAGGCTGCCATATCGCGCCATCGGCCCCTCTGGCCAACACCAGTAGGCAGTAAGGTAAAGTGTCTTGCCCAAGGACACAACGACCAGGACAGAGAGCCCGGGGATCGAACCGGCAACCTTCCAGTTACAGATACGCTTCCCAACCCCCTGAGCCACGGTCGCCCCAAGTTGCCAGTCTATGCAAGGTTAACAAATCTGTTGCTGAGAAATTCCAAATAGTGAAAAAGTTCCTGCAAATGAGCACAGGCGCGCACTAGGGTCTACACAAACAGTAACGAGTACAGCTTCATTAAATACTGGCATCAGATCAGTACTATCAGCCCAGGGGTCCGTACCATGTGAGAACTGGAAACAGTTAGATTGGTGCATCCATTGGAAAAAGGAGGATTTTCTTCTTATAAAAAAGAAGAATCCAGAAATCCAAAATTTTAAATTTAAGAAAACTGCATCTCCTAAGAGTATAGAATAATTCACTGACAACTTCATTTACTGATTATGAGGCAGGGTGTGAAATAGAATTTCAAATAGAATTTCAGTGCTTATCCACAAACAACCAAAAAAGACACCAGTCAGTTTTCCAAAAGTCCTCAGTCATTAATTCTAATCTTCATCATAGTGCTTTTACTTTTGGGTGATCTTTTCCCCCCCCAAATGCTGGTGTATTTTTTGGTTTTATGACAGCAACCGTGCAGAAGACAGGATGGAGAAGAATTAAAGAAAAGGAGGTGATCATGCACACGACCAAAATATAAAAATAAAACTTACCACAGATGGAAAGCATCTTGCCACCTACATTTATATCATGTCACAATCAGTTCATTAAGACACAAACACTAGCCAGCTCAACCAGCATGCACATGTCCCCAAAACACTGGAAACTGAGTCACATGAATGAGAAGCAAAATATAAAAGTGAAGGTGCTCAATGTCAGGTTTTTTTCATAAGGCGGGAATGAACTTAACTGTAGCTTTCTGTGTAAGCAGAAATAAAAGCAAGCTAATCCCTGTTCCTACAGTCACAGCAGTCGGAGGTTAGACGACAAACAGAATAAACCAACCAGCACCAACAATCCAGTGCTTAATAAACTAAGTCATGGTGAAAACACAAAGACAGCTCAGGCCTCCCAAAGTAATGTGCAGGTGACTGTGTGCATGCCAGTGGAAACTGTCCAGCGGGTCTCACACCTGTGTCAGGAGTACTGTACTCGGGCCACCAACCTCCCATGTTCTCCCCTTCCATTGGAGTGGTACTCTCTGAGATACTTCGAGGATCCTGAAACGGGGCCTGCCCGTGGAGCTCAAAGTCCTCCTGCCAGTGCAAAAGTTTGTTGTAGCAGGGGATTAGATTTTAAGCATTTAGAAAAAAAAGGCAAACTGTTTTTGCAAGTCTACTGTGTACGACGCAAACAAGATCAAGCAGGCAGGTAGCGAGATTATTCTTCCTCTTTGAATAAAGTAAGCTTCCTGTTCTCTGTTATTAACCAAAAATAGAAAACTGGTCCATCCATCCATTTTTTTAACTATATATACATTTTTAGACACTAGTAGAGACTAGAGTAGTCAAGCACAATCCATAGTTGAAAAACTGATCCGTATTTACAGCAGACCTTGTTACCCTCAATTATTTATTTTAGCTCCTTTTCCTCTCCTCCGGCTTATTGCTGAGCTCTGTGTGCTGCTCACATTAGGGATACCTGCTCTCACTGACATCAAGAGCAAAATGTGAAGAAACTGGGTGAAAAGGGGAGATTATGCTATTCTCAATGAAACTCAGACCAGTGAATATCTTTTGGTGTTTAATTGCAGTTAAATAAACTAAAACGATTATTTTTGTTTGCCTTTCTAAAGGATAACGCTCATTTTGCTGATGATTCCATGCATGTAGTGTTCAGCTCCCTGTAAAACCTTGTATTAATGTTAACATGAAAAACACTTCAAAATAACAATCGCAAAAAGGATTTTAAAAAGGCTGTTGTGAAACCGTTTTTTCTAGAAGGTCTGCCCTGAGCTGCAGGATTTGATCTGAACAGGATTTATTTCATAAAGAAAATGTTGCAAGACTCAGCTTCTGAAAATAACTGCAGACTGGTTGATATTAAGCTGTACAGTTAGCCCCGCTCATTCTTCAGCAAATGTCTGAGGCTGTGCTGGTATAACCATGATACAGCCACAGAAACGTCTATAATAAGAGCCGCCTACCTGCAGACTTCGCTGGGATGGAAGCGCCAGCTTCTTGGCCCTGTGCTGATCGAGCCCCCGAGCTTGAGCCAACTCCTCCTCCAACTCCTGCTGCCGAGTGACCAGTGCTGGATCGGAGCAGCCAGGAAAGAACCAGTCATCCTCAATCAGTTTTGTGCCACAGGGAAAGGGGAATGATGGGTTGCATTGAGGGTGTATTTACGGATGGGAAGTGAGTTTAAAGTGGACTAGACAGAATTATCATAGTGTGGAACAGGATAATGTTTTTGAAGACAGGATGACAGAGATGGAGAGTTGACAAGAAGTATGATGGCATGAATGATGCTGGTGGTTTGGTGAGAAACTTTCAACACCACAAACATACTCTGTGACAAAAAAACAGTTTAATCCAATAGTATAGGCAACGAGAGCGACAGTAAGACTGCAAGAGAAGTACAGCAATGACAAGAACTGAGGATGGAGAAATGGAAAGTTACTCCAGGTGTTTATGCACTTGTGTATTTGCATAAGGTAGTGAACCTGAGAAACACTTCAAAAGCAGCATTCTGGTCAGAGCCATGCACACCTAATTTGCATAGCAAAGAAACACACATTTAAACAAGTGGGAAACAGGGAGGAAGGAGAAAACCCATCTTTATGAGTCACATTCAAAGCGAGTGCTTCATCATCTGTGTCTTCGAAATGAAGAGCAGACAGAAACACCAGGCAGGTGCATATCTGAGGGGACTCTGATGGTGCTTTGACTTGTATTTTCATTTAGCAGCAAAGGATTCAAGAAGGGCAACGTCAAAATGATTACAACTAAACATGTTCCCATCTGTTTTGTGACGACAGGTCAATTTTTGACACGTTGGGAGGAAAAAGGGGGGCAGCTCGTAGCAAAGGGTGGGGCAGGAAAAGGAAAGGAGTTCTGTGTGTTAACCGCGGTCAGTGTGGGTTCAGTGCACAAGCAGATTTAAACAAAAATGTATCAACCTAATTTTAACAGCGTAGCCAAAACAATCATGACCCTCTGCAGCAGAATAGAGCCAGTCTGCCACATGCTGGGCATTTCACCCACACTGACTACAGCAGAGCAGATTACAGTAAAGCACATGCAAGTTCAGCAGAAACGTGAGCATTGTGCATGATTATGCATCAAGTCAAAATAGTGCTGTGAAGTCTTATTACTAAAAATCAGCTGGTCTCAGGTCGGCTTTGTTTCTAGTGAAAAGCTGTGAAAAACATCAAATTCATCATTTAATGCATGATGTTAAATAGTCATCTACACAGAGAGCTATCGATGTAAAAATGCTAGGTAGGATTTTTTAAAAAGTGAACTTAACTCCCTAATATTTCACAGCAAAGGACCTCTTTGCTGTCAAAATCATTGTGCATTATAATCCAACGTTTTAACAGCATCATTGACCCACACAGTACTGACTAACGTCTGCAGCAGACTTTAATCTGCACTGGTGAGCTGATATGTGCAAGTATATAGAAAATCAACTTGAAGATCGTCTTTAATGGGAGATTGGCCAATTTGAAATCTGGTAAGACCTTTTCACATTAATGAGTTAATTCATGGAACTTAACGATCTCACCCTGTAGCCGCTAATAAGCATCAAGTTTGATACTTCTTAATTCAAATACATGAATATGAAACCAACATCACAGCAAATCACAGAAGACCCACTGACAAAGGAGTATTTGCAGCTCATCATGAGTTAGAGCGCATGCTTCAATAGTAACTTCTGAATCTGAATAAAATGACCAACATTACACCAGTGAGCAAGACTCAGATGAACTCTCTTTAAACTCAGTATGAAAAAGCACAAATTGTTTTCCTAAAATTGATTTTGGTTTTCTGTCACACATGGATGAAATGTCAGTGAAGTGGACAAAACTCAAATTACCTTTTTTGCAGGGTTTTTATGGATTTATGAGGTTGACCCTTATTATTTGAGATCACGTCATTATTGTCAACTCCACTTGATTGATTCATGAACCTAATACGCTGTGACACCACTAATCAAAATCAGGAGGAACAATTAGTACGTAAGAGACCATCAGCCATTTTTCTTTGAGTATGATGTTGGCTTCATCTAACTAGGATTAAAGAAGACTCTCATTTGCATGTTTACCACTGTGATAACATTCTAATTATTCAAGCAGCGCTTTGGATTTTATAACAGCAGTATCATGTGATAAAACTGCATTAAAAAAATATACTCCCGTGTTAAAACCAAAAAAAAAAAACCCTGATACGTTTTGTAATAAACGTTTCCAGATTTACAATAATGAGCTTAACTGAAGCTTGATTCTTATTGCTGACAAAAATCCAGCCTGTAATGATGAGGCTTGTGCATATTTTAAAAGCTAACTAACATATTAGGATCACTCACTTAAAGATAATACCTGCTATGTCTGTCTCTGACAAGCTGAGTGGGACTATGTTGCTGAGCAGTAATACAGATGTTTCACAGATGTTTCACATTTCTGAGTATGAAATGTGCCATCTGAAGCAGAGGTGGCATGCATATTTTCACATTTAAAAACAAGAACAAACAAACAGAAAACAAAAACAAAACAAATATCCAAATCCCCAAATTGAAAAGCACAAATACCTACACAATGACGGAGTATCTGAGGGCACTTGTGCATAGCTCTACTAAGCCAGGTGTGTCTGTCTGTATGGAGGATAGGCTCTGGTGTCAGCCTTGTAGCTCTGATGAGGTTATATGCATTAGTCTTTTTAATAGGGTTAGTGCAAACCTACCATCCCACCACAATAGAGCAGCAATTTTCTTTAATTATATTTGAGACCAGTTCATTATTGTTGGTGATTTCAGATATCTTAGCACACCAGAAATCAAAAGTTGAGAAGAAGAAACAGAAAGACAGAAGAAAACAAAAGGGTAAAGAATGGAAAAGAACAACACGGGACAGAGAAAGGAAGAGACTAAACTAAACAGCAGACTCGAACGTGCAGCATGACACTGTACTGCCTGTCGTTTCCACCAGCAAATGCAAAATTCAGGGAAACTCCAGGCAGTACAGTGTGCACGAGCTGCACTGGAGGTTTGGAGGAGCCTGCATGCACAAAACTGATGGGAAACTGTTCTGCGTGGCTGCTCCCATCCCTGGAGCAGGGGCTGGACAGGGAGAGTGGGGAGGGGGTGGAGGTCCATGAGATGGGAGGCAGCACAGAGTAAACCAAATCTCGCCAATGACAACAGTGAGGATGGGGAAAAATGAAGAAAACAAAGTACTGTTCAGTCAAACAACACATGACGAAAATGGTAAAACAAGCTAGCTCTATGAGAAAAACAAAGTGTGTGAAATATATTTGAAATGATTCCATTTAGTCCAGTCCTCTCCAGACTGAAGTTGACTCAGAGTTGATCAAACATTAACCCTCTGGGGTCCAGGGTATAACTGGCTGTTTTTGACTACTTTTGATTTTACGTCTGTATTTCACCTTTAAACACGGTTTATCTTGCCTGTTTGGCATCATTCTTTTCAGCAATCTACCTTTGGAGGCTTTTTTGGAGCAACTGTGACATTCACTAGTAGAACTGACACACAAAACAAAACAACGACTACACTACACACTAACTATAGCCTCCGAACACACTAAACATCACAAATCTCTCATATGTGAAAAGTCGCTCTCTCTCTCGCCGGTGTCACTCCTAAAACTTCCCCCTCTTCCTAAACAACCAAGTGCCACATGCTGCCATATAAGTTTTTTGATTGGTCAACATGGTACACTTTAACACCAATAGAAAAGGGGTGTTTTTATTTATTTATTTTTTAATTTTGCTCGCAAGCAGAGAGTGTTTGCTAGTAGGGGTGCAACGATACTCGTATCGATATTGAACCGTTCGATACAGTGCTTTCGGTTCGGTACGCATATGTATCGAACAATACAACATTTTTAATTTATTTTATCAACTTTCCTTCTGACGATGCTGTCTGTGTTGAGCGCTCAGTGAATCTGTGTTCGACAGTGCAGGCTAGGCGGAGTAGTCGAGTGCAGATTCACTGAGCGCAGGGCAAGCTAGCGAGACAGAAGTTAAGCTCTCCTTGCAACATGGCAAATTGAACCTCCCCCACCCTCATTCAGATCTGGCGTTTGGAACTATTTTGGTCTTCATGTGACGTATGACCCTGAAGGTAAGCGCGTCATGGACTAAAGTAAAACAGTATGTTGGATGTGCCATGCAATGCTCAATTACATGGGTGGGAACTAGTGTGTTAGCGCAGTTAGCTCATTAACGTGTTGGCCGTCAAGCCCCACGCACGGGGCGATCTGCGGTAGCTCGTTAACGGAGATTTGCCGTGTTGTGGCGTTAAGGTCATTTCAACGAGATTAACCTGAAAGCACTAGTGGGAACACAACGAATATGACTGCACACTTACATCATCCTAGTGCAAAGACAAGTGGAAGCAGACAAAACCAACAAGCAGCATGCTACAAACGTTACCCGAGTCATTTAGACAGCCGTTAGCACAGGATTCTCCTTATGGGGACCTGATATGTTTAATATGCTGCTGAGAATATAGCCCAGAAGAAGCTATAGTACAGCTTTTATTTTGGAAAGAGACATTTCTCTGTAATAAACTCTCTTTTCCAAAGAGTGATTTCTCGATCAGATAGATTAATTTTTTTTATTATTTTGTTGTTTCAGCAACATTAAATTTAAAAACTGTACTTTTGAGTTAAAATATATATTTATAATTTTAATAAATGACAAATTAAAAAAGCATGAACATTTTTTGTATCGAAAAAATATCGAACCGTGACACCAAAGTATCGAACCAAACCGTGAATTTTGTGTATCGTTGCACCCCTATTTGCTAGCACTCTCCTTAGAAAATGACATTTTTACCGTTCTTTCTGCAGTAAACACTGTTTTATTCAGAAAAAACATTGCGTGTATTTTTTATCTTAACTCTGGTTTTACGTGCCCTATCACCACAATTTAAAAACTGGTGTATAGTTCTAAGTCTGCACTTTCGACCCAAGTGGAAATGGAGACTGTGGGTCGCTGCATCTTGTTGCTGTGTCGTCTTAAATTGGTCATGTGATTTTGACGCACCGGCACATCCATCGACCCCAGAGTGTTAATGGAGATCGGAGGCACAGTAATGCCAGAACTGAACTAAAGTTTCCCCAAAACCACAGCTACCACTAAAGTAACTTGACTCTGACAGAACCCCGTGATCCACATTTGTGTTAACAAACAAAATGCCAAAAATGTAGACAACAGAGTTTGTGTTTTATAGTAACACCAAGTTCCTCTTTAGATGCTAACAGAGGATGTGTACTCTGATATACTAACGGGTTTAAGAATGACTAAATAATTAAAGTCGAATTTTGAGGAACAGAAATACAGAACAACTTTAAAGTATTAAAGAACAGGTTTTACTACTGTCGTATTAAGTACTGCGAGTCTTTTCTTGCATTTATGAAAAAGTTTTGTTTTTAGGTTCCTCACATATATGAATGTCAGCAGACGTGTGTCGTTATTTCACACTGGCTGAGGATTTCTGAGCAGATTAACTGTGACTCTGATGTTCACCCTGCTTCTACCTCCTAGCTATAACTGATCCCACCACCATTAGCTAATTTGATCTAAATGAGTTTGACTCATCCTCCAGTAAAAGTCTTACCCTCTCTTTCCTCCTCCATGTGGCTGATACGGAGGGACAAGGCAGCCTTCTCCTCCCTGGCCCGGTCTCTGGCACTGACCACCTCAGCTACCATCTCCTGCCACTCCAGCACCTGGCTCTGAGTGTCATCAGCGCTGCCTGATTCACTTGCCTACGTTCAGCAGGTGCAAAAAGGGATAAGAGACCATCCGTGAGTATTAAATGTAAAACAAAAGCAGCAGGTTTAAGAAAGCGTTTGGGTGCTAGACCTGAGAGGCAGCCCTCTTGGTGAACTGCTCCAAGTCTGCCTGTAGTGTCCTCTGTTGCTCCTCATACACCACCAACTTTGCCTCCAGCATTTCTAACGATAACATCGAACAAAAATAATGTTCATTTTTGAACTGAGGATTTCCCTAAAGCGTTTTCCGGAAAGTTTAATTTTATTACCGTTTTTTGCTTTAACCTCCTCGTATTGCTCCACCTTCCAGAGGTTTTCTTCTCTCTCCTCCTCGAGTGCAGTGATGCGACTCCGCAGGGCAGTCAGGTCTGGGGGAGCAACTCCAGCCTAAATAGAGTCAAACGTGTCTGTTTACTTGGCAGCTTTGCTTACCAAAGGACTTTCAGCATTTTGACGCGTTTTCGATTTTCACTCTGGATAACAAACTGAAAACGGCGTCCTGCAGACGATCGGCTGATATAAAAGAAAAACGGATAACGTGACGGATGCTGCATCAGCTTTATGGTCATGACGAGCAGCGCGAGCAGTAACGAGCTCAAATCTAAAAACAGGTATCGTTTTAACAACGCCAAAGAGAAAGCGATCTCTCTCCCTACAACTCAGAACAGTGTCATATCCTGTAAGACACAGTGTTACATGATTTAACACTGTGAAATGAACTCTAAATCTACAAACAGCGGTCCCTCGCTGGTTCTCCTGTCGCGGCCTCGCTGTTTCCTGGATTTTTGTGTGCAATTTTCCATGGTTTTTAATTATTTTTTAATTTATTTTATTTTTTTACAGGGCTTTATGTTCTGCGTCCTGATTGGCTGTAGACCACTGTCAATCACTCTCCTCCGTGCTGTGTCTCCTGTACTTTACAGAACGCGTTCAGTTTGTCAAATCTACATAAATCTCTGATCGCCAGCAGTGTGGCTCTGAAGTGCTGGACTTTTTGTTTGCAAGTTTTCTCCCCAACAAAAACAATCTCGACGAAACGCTTTGGACCGTCAAAGGCAGCTGCTGTTGGTTTCGTTCTATAACACTGGACTTATTTTTCTATGAAGGTTTGAAGTTTGTGTTTAAACAAGAGAGAAAAGTGTGAAAATGCCTGTCTGAGAAAAGCGTATAAAGTGTGTAGTGAGGGGTTTAAAACATCTATAATAACTGTAAAAAACATAAAGTTGGCGACTTTGCGTATTTTACCTGTCGCGGGTTATTTTTAGAACGTAACTCCCGCGCTAAACGAGGGAGCGCTGTAGTATAGAACACCATAAACATCTACATTTCTATGTTTTATTGAAAAAGATTGCATACAATTGTAACATTTATACTTGAATAACTGCTGGTTTTATCATTCATAGCTCAACAATTAGTGGCTTCTCTTGACTGCAGGAGTTATTTTCTTCAGCAGTGCTGTGCAAACGTTTTGAACAGCCCTTATTTCTTTATGTTTCATGTATGTTTGACCAAAACAGAGTTGTACAAGCCTGAAACCTGATATCTGGACATCTTTATTCAATACAGCCTGACCTCACTTTTCTTGTTCTGTGAAGGTCACGCCATGACGGTCTTCCACTGGGGTTTTTTTCCCCTTTTACTGCACTGGCAGTGAATTTGGGATCTTTGCCATAAGCACAGCACAAAAGCACAAAATGCTTTGTTCATCCGACTTGGACAACTTGAAACCCTCACCTGGCTTCTCTTCAGTTCCTCCTCCAGCTGTCTGATTCGACTTTTAGACCAAGCTTTCATTTTTAGGAACTTGGCCTCTGATCTGCTGGCTTCATCTGTTTTCTGCTTTGCTTGTGCTGCAAAAATAACAAAAGAAAAGGTTTGAAGCACTGAAAGAATTTGAAAATGTCCTCATGTTCTGCTGCATTTTGTGAACAAACTAAACATTCCCAGGATGTACATGGGAAAATGACCTCTGAAGGAGTTCAGATAAATCATCAAAATGAAGCACCAACCTTCCAGCTCAGCTATCCTCTGGATGGAAGCTGAATCTGTGAGCACATTTCCACTTCCTGATGCCTCCTGACTGGCAGGTGGTGCTGCTGCCTGGGCTCTCCTCAGGTCCTCCAGCTGCCTCATGAGATCCTGTTGGGTTTGATCCAGCTGTGCTTGATGCTGCTCGGTCATTCGCTGCACCTCTGCCTGCTGCTTCTCCATCAGGTCACGGAGTTGTGCTCGCATCACATGCTTCTCTGCCTCCATTTTGGATTCAAGGCTCTCTCGCTCAACTTGTAGCCTCTGCAGCCGCTCTGAGAGTTCCTGCGTGGACAAAGTATTTGTTCCACATAAGTTTCAAGGTGTCATTATTTCAAGAGAGGTTGAAGAATGTCTACGAAACAACAATAGAGAATGTTCTATAGGCTGAATGAAAAGTGTCTGTCTGAAACAAGCTTTAGCCCCTCCCCCTGAGCTCGCTACATGTAAGCAACATTAGGGATATTTCTTCTCTGGTCTGAAAACGAGTGTTTACAACAGTCTGAAGCTGCATTTAAGCTCAAAGACATTTATTAAATATGGAAATTGATCTTTTTGACAGAAAACAAGGAAAAACACCAACGTCTTTATTGAGACGCAAACAGGAGCGGCGAGTCTGCTAACCTTTATCTGCTGATCTCTCCCGTCCACCTCTCCCTGGAGAACATCAATGACCTGAGTTTTACCCAGCAGCACTTCCTCTTTCTCATGAAGCTTCTGTTTTAGAGCCTTCAGAAGCTGAAAAGAAAAGCACAGATTCACAAACAACACAAAAATTCCAACTTCTTTTAGTTGCATGAACTCCTGACTGTCTGTGTTACCTGCTCCAAGTCTGCACTGGCATCTGACTTGGCTGCTAGCTTGAAGAGCTCCTGTTCATGCATCTGGTTGATCTCCATCAGCTGGCTGTCCTTCTGAATGATGATGTCTTTGAAGGTCTGGATCTATAAACAAGCACACGACTCATTGTGAACCCGAGACAGCTAAATTCTACAAAAGAAGCTGTATTGTCCTCTTTGAAAACCTACATTCTGCTTGTACATGCTCTCCTTTTGGCTGTACTGCTCCTTCTCTGTAGCCAGCAGGTCTTTGAGGCTGTCTGTCTGCTCCTGCAGCAAACTGTAGCGCTCCTCTGCTTCCCCCACTTTCTTAGTCAAGCTCTGTACCAGCAACTGCAGCTCCTGCATCGCCCCGCCGTCCTCAGCCTGGGGGGACAGAACACATGAGTGACAGTGACCACATCTCTGAGAAAATGCAAGACATCGCCTGTTGTGACTCAGCTGTAATCCATTTTCTTCTACTTTTCTAACTGTGTCTGCCTATTATTAACACGTGCAATATTTAGAAAAAAGCAGTGAGATGATTCTACATGCTCAAAGCATTTATGACCTTCTGTGGTGGTGCAGGTGTGATGGGCTGATCTCCAGCCAGCGCTGTTTGCAGGTGGACAATGTAGGCCTCTTTTTCTGCCAGTTTCTTGTCCTTCTCTGTCAGCATAGCGTCCATTTCTTCACCACGCTGCCGCTGAGACTCCAACTCCTTCATCTACACAAAGTATTGGTCAGAAAAATTAGATTTCAAAGTGTAAGCGTACACCTAGGGCTGTTCGATATAACGATATATATGGATGACGATATAAAAACGTCTGTCGTTTCATTTTACGCTATCGTTTGTTTCGTGGTGTCGCAAAATAAACTGTTTACGGTAATATTTCTTCATGGTTCTGATGGTCACTGTAGTAAAGTTCTCTCTTTCTCTTATATTTAATATAACCACACTACGGACGGACAAGCGTTTGTTTTTATGCGTTGTCGTTATCAACAACGACGGTAAAACCACCGCATGTCCGCTTGTTTATGTTCCACATAAACCTTTCACAATAAAGCTCAAGATCCTGTTGAGACTTAAACTGAATCACGTGAAAGAGCAGATTATTTACGGATGAGAAGCAAACAAAGAGCCGCCAGGTGCTAAAAAATAAACCTTAGACTCAAACATTAGAACAGGCTTTTCCCCGCAGCACGCCGTGTAATAAATACTCACAAAGAAAACGGCGCCGTTACAACTTATATCTAAAAATGTGTCGTTTCATGCATCGGTTAAAACACTCGACTCCAGCTACATGACGCGCAGCTGGAAACACTTCACGCAAGTCGAGATTCACAGAATTTACAGAAAATGTTACATTTCTGTGATTTATATCGTTATCGGACGATAGATGTCTTATATCGGGATATGAGACTTTGGTCATATCGCACAGCCCTACGTACACCTCAGGATATGTCACAACAGAAAAAGAAATGAATACATCCGTTTGCTCAGTGGCACCATTGTGGGTGCGCATATTCATGGAGAGGATGATTATTCTGTAACTACAAGAAGAAATGAAGAAAAAAATGTGGAGCCAGGAAAAGTAGAGTAAACTGGTGACATTTTTCCATAAATGTACTGGATTCATCTCTGTCGATACGAGCTGCGTTTCCTGCGGCCATTTCTTTGTTCTCTGCTGAAATTAGCTGCCGTTGCTGTTCTTCTGTTGTGATTATAATTCAAATTAAGAAAGATAAATGTAATTATAAAAAAATAACTTCAAATAATTAAGTGGACGTGGTGGGGACACAGGGTAAGGCTAGTTAGGCCAAGACTAGCACATATGTGTGTTCCAACAATACTCCAAGTAACATCAGTGGGAAATATCTCATTTCCCTTTATCTGGTAGGCATCAGAATCAAAGTATGCTTTACTTTGGTTTCCAGTTCCACATCTCTTTGTCCAAGCTGCTGTTCTAGTTCATCAACCTTCTTCTTCAGCAGGACAATCTTGCCTCGACTGGCTTGCTCTCCTCCTTCCGATGAACCCTAAACATGAAGAAAGCACTTTAACAACCCCAATGGAAACAGAGCAGAAACATGATTCAAATGGGATCCACATGGCATGACTGTGTCTGAGCTTATAAAGCCAATGGTGCACTGAATCGCTGGAAAACGTTTAGTATTTATTCATTTCTACGTTTAGCCCTTCAGTTCTGGATGTGCGTGCACATCTCCACCTTTTTGCCGTGTGTTGGTGTGCTCGGCCCCTGCTGCTTCTTCAGCTCCTCGAGCTGTGCCGTCAGAGACGTCACCTTGGCCTTGTTCTGCAGACGCAGTTTGGACAGTTTGGCTTCACAGGCCTCCTTCTCAGCCTGAAAACACAAAGAAGAACTTTAACTCCAGTTCAGTGCTTCGTTACGTCATCAGACCAGATGGTTTAACTGTAATATTTTAGGACACGTTAATAAAAAGTGAACTTTGGCAGCTTTAGATGTGTGTGTGTGTGTGTGTGTGTGTGTGTGTGTGTGTGTGTGTGTGTGTGTGTGTGTGTGTGTGTGTGTGTGTGTAAGCACAGCAAAGGTTTACAATGCAGGAAATGCTTGCACTCTCCTGTAGCGCGGTTGCTAAATCAAACACATTCCTGTCTTTACTGTGGATTGAAAGGCTTGACTGTTTAATATTTAACACAGTTGATGTTTCTCACTGAAAGATCCAAGTCAGAGAGCAGCTTTAAAAACAGTTTTGACCAATTGTGCCTGCCTCAATATTCCATTTCCCAATCTATGTGATGACTCATAGGATTGAATAATTTAAGCACAGTCCTTATAAATCAAGGAACACCATGCAGAGTCCTGCACACTGGAAAAACTTACTCATAGACTTAATCTTTGAAAAATGTATCCATCTGTGCACCCACATCCCCTTTTTTTGCTTGATTTTCTATCAAAAACTGAACAATGTTTACATTTTTAGCTATATCTGCACGCTACTCAAGAACACACTGACAGCCCAGCTGAGGCCACCATTTATAAATAGCACGTGTCAGTCTCTATTTAAAACTAACAATTGTACCTTTAGAGGTGGAATTTGCAAACATTCATTCAGAATTTGCTTCTAATCTGATTCTAATACAGTTACAGTTGAGTGTTTGGACAATGGCAAATTTGCCTCTGTGTGCACAGGGGATTTTTAATCAAACAACCAAGATGAAACTCAAGATTTTCAGCTTCAACTCGAGGTGTTTAACCAAAGTCTTGTATCAACAGTTTAGGATTTACAGACATCTGTTCCCTCATCATTCCACGAGAAAGTAAGTAGATAAAAGATATGAAATTGAGTGAACTGAGCACTAAGGTTGAACTTGTATTGTAAAGATTCAATAAGAGAAAGCAAAAACTAAATCGATAAACTGGTACATTCAGCCAATCCATCAAAGCCCAGACATGTCCACTAGCCTATCCAGAGGAACACAGACTTTTTCAGGCCGGCTGAGAATCTCTCCACTGTGTACGGGGTTGACCTGAGGGCCTCCTCCAAGTAGAACATGTACAAAACACCTCACCCAGAAAGCATCAGGTCAGATGCCCAAACCACCTCTCAATATAGAGGAATAGCAGCTCTACGCTTCACACTTACCTTGCAGCAGCAGATTTGAGCAGGCACCTGTCTGCCCAGCCTTCTTCAGAATGATGTCAAAGTTCTGCTGGAGGTGGGAATTAAACTTCATGTGGACCCAGGCCACTGCAACATGCTCCCAGCTAGGGCTGGGCCATATCATACCGTTCACGGTAATACCGGTATAACGTTGGGCAACGATAAGAAAATGAAATACCGCGATAGAATATGGGTAAAACGCACATGCCTTTGTTTACACATGGCGGAAAGAGCATGGCGGCGACGGAGAATGAGAAGGGTGAAAGTGGAACTGGTTTAGCTTTCGTCCGTCAGATACACAACAAAGCACTATTTTTGGTAGCGCATGCTAGCGGGCCGTTATTACCGTGTTGTTTGGAAAATACGGCGCACTTAAAATCATCCTTTGATTTTTCTGAAAGTCGACAGAGCCCCTTATAATCCCGTGTGCCTTATGTATGAACTCTGGTTGTGTTT